GATTTTATTTCTATCAGTATCATTATCATCATCTATATTTTATAATCATTATTATGATTATCATCACTTTTTTATGATTATAATTATCAACATAATCATTATCATTATTATTATCACCATCATAATCGTTACTATCATTGTTATCATCATTATTATTATTGTTATCTTCATTACTATTATTATTATTATTATTATTATCATTTAGTGTTATTATTATCATTATCATTGTTATTATCAACATCATCATTGTTATTTTTATAGTCATCATTTATTATCTTTATCACTACCATTACTATAATTATCATTATCATTAGTAGTAGTATTACTGTTATCATTATTATGATTTGTATTGCTGTTAATGTTATTATTACCATTATTACTGTTATGATCATTATTATCATTATCACTAATAATAGAATTGTTATCATGATCATTATGATTATTATTTCATTATCATTACTATTATCATCATTATTTTTGTAATATTTATCATTACTTTTCCCATTATTAGTATGGCCATCATTAATATCATGATTATGATTATGATCATCATTGTCATTATATTTATTTCAATATTATCAACTACATTTTCATGATCCGTTTCGAATTCTTTATTGCAGAAATCACTCGCGCTTCCAGGAAACCTAATGCAATATTTATTTTTTCAAGGTCTTGGGGAAACGAAATCAGGCCTTACATGCTCCAAATCACGGAACACTTTTTCGTCCAGGTGTAAATAAATAAACTGGTCGATGCATGCGCGGAAAGAGAACGGGGGGGAGGAAAGGTGGGAGAGAGGGAGAAGAGGAGAGAGAGGACGGGGGAGGGAGAAAGGGGAGACAGAGAGAGAGTTGGGGGTGAGAGAGAGAGAGAGAGAGAGAGAGAGAGAGAGAGAGAGAGAGAGAGAGAGAGAGAGAGAGAGAGAGAGAGAGAGGAGAGAGAGAGAGAGAGAGAGCACAAGAGGAAGGGAAACACGGAGAAGGTAAGCATCATAACGTCTTGGCAATATTTATGGTCGTGTCCTGACTCAGCCTCGGTAGAACTGGCCCCGATGTGTCGTTACAAGCTGCGGGTTCAGTCTGGTCTGAACTTTACGTGGGTCGTTAACTTTGTCCCCAGACCCGCGGCCACGGCATCACGGGCGAGTCGTACGCGGCACATTTCGCTATTTATTATCAACGTCGTTCACGCAACGTAGAGATGAAGGACATGTACTACGGCGTGTTCATTTGTTCTCTTCCGGTGTCTGTCTTAGGCTTTCGAAGGTGTCATGCGCTGTAATGGGCGGATGTCACGCGGGAAGCCGTTTCTGATGTCTGTCCGTCACGGAAGGGCGTCGTGCATTCGGTGCCAAACGGGATTTTTTGTATTTCTTGAGTGTATTTTTTGTTCTTAGGAGTAGGAATCGATTTGTTTTTGTCCTTTTTTCTTTTCGTTTTAAGAAAGCGGTTCCTGATGAAACAGGTTAAGTTGTTGGCATCTGTAGCTGCGTTGAAATAAAACCGTGGAAAATTGTGAACGCTTTTCCTGTGCGTGCGTGTGTTGTTGGCTTTGCAGTTGTACTTTAACACTGATTGGGCAGATGTGAATAGTACATTATTTCCTTTGGAGAAGAATCTAAACGATAAACTTACGCTGTGATAGAAATATATATTTTCTAAACATTTTAGCAGGTTTTCTCGCCATTCATAATTACTGAGAAACGGCGCCTTCCATTTTACACGTGCACGCGGCCAGATCTATGACCTGGAGCGAGAGCAAGCGAAAAGCCAGAGGCTTTGAGGTTTCGCGGGTTTAACAATTTTGATTTATTTATAGAACTCATGCTGTGCTTTGTAGTGTCTCCCTTGTGATCGTGAACGTTTTTATTATCCTCTGTTTAGAATATTTTTATCCATTTGCTACGCATAAAAAAGGCAAAATGGACTAGAATTTCTCATTCAATTTTCCACTTCTGTCACTTTGTGTTCACTTCCCTGCAGCCAGCGATCCTCTGCTCTTCCCTGATCCGGCAAAATAAAGGTAAATCCATGAAGATGAGAAAAAAATATATACACAATGTGCTCAGTCCTGAATGCGTGTTTTCTGCTCTGGTTTGCTCGACGTAGCGAGTTCGGCTCACAGAAAATGGAAATTTTTATATATTCCATGAATATAAACGCAGACGAAACATGTTGATAAGTTTCCTACCAAGTGAATAGACTCGGCAGTGTAGACACAGGATGAGAAACGGCCATGAATAATGCATGAATCGCGAGGCGGCGACGGCACCGCTCGCCGCGATCGCCAATCGACGCTCTATGAGCCCGCCGACCGGGGCTGGCGGCGGAAATGAGGAAGACTGCCTTGCCCCGTCGCCAGGTGGGGATGCCTGTGTGCAAATACACACACACACACACATATATATATATATATATATATATATATATATATATATATATATATATATATATATATATATATATATATATATATATATGTACATGTATACATATACATA